TTGCACCCTCTCAAGTTTAATAATATCCTTCCTATAGCAGAGTGACCAGAATTGTACGCAGTACTCCAGATGTGGCCTTATCAATGCCTTGCACAGCTGCAACATGACATCCCAACTCCTGTACTCAATGCTCTGGCCAATGAAGGCAAACGTGCCAAACACCTTCTTCACCACCCTGTTCATCTGTGACACTACTTCCAAGGAACTATGTACCTGAACCCTTAGGTCTTTCTGTTTGACAATACTCTCCAGGGCCCAACCATGAACTGTGCAGGTCGTGCCCTGGTTTATCTTTCCAAAATGCAATACCTCACATTTATCTAAATTAAACTCCATCTGCCATTCCTCAGCCCACTGGCCCAATTGATCAAGATCCCATTGTAATCTTAGAAACCTTCTTCCCTGTCCACTACACCACTGTTCAAGCAGAGGTGATGGCCTAGTGGTATCATCGCTGGACTGTTAACCCAAAGACCCAGACAATGTTCTGGGGACCCTGGTTTGAATCCTGCCATGGCAGATGGTGGAATTTGAATTCAATAAATATCTGGAATTAACAACCTAATGATTACCATGAATCCATTGTCAGGAAAAACCCATCTGGTTCACTAATGTCCTTTAGGGAAGGAAACTGCCATCCTTACCTGGTCTGGCCTACATGTGACTCCAGACCCACAGCAATGTGGTTGATTCTTAACTACCCTCTGGGCAATTAGGGATGGGCAATAAATGTTGCCTAGCCAGCAACACCCTCATCCTGTGAATGAATAAAGAAAAAAAAACACCACCAATTTTGGTGTCATCTGCAAACTTCCTAACCATGACTCCTATATTCACATCCAGATTATTTGTATAAATGATAAACAACAGTGGACCCAGCACCTTCAGCACACCTCCAGTCACAGGCTTTCAGTCTGAACAATGACCCTCACCACTATCCTCTGTCTCCAGCTGTCAAGCCAATTTTGTATCCAGTTGGCTAGCTCTCCCTGGATCCCACATGCTCTAACCTTGCTAACCAGTCTACCAGGTGGAACCTTGTTGAAGGTTCTTGTTAAAGCCCATGTAGACAATGTCTACCTTTCCACCCCATCTATCTTCTTGGTCACCTCTTCAAAAAAACTCAATCAAATTTGTGAGACATGATTTCCCATGAACAAAGCCACATTCACTATCCCTAATCAGTCCTTGCCTTTCCAAATGCATGTAAATCCTGTCCCTCAGAATCTCCTCCAACAAATTACCCATCACTGACATCAGACTTACTGGTCTATAGATCCCAGGCTTCCCCTTGCAGCCTTACTTAAATAATTGCATAACATTAGCCACCCTTCAGTTTTCCAGCACCTCACTGGCTGTCGATGATACAAATATCTCTGCTAGGGGTCCACAATTTCCCCCAGCTTCCAACAATGTCCTTGGATATACTTGATCAGGATTTATCTACCTTTATGCATCTTAAGACATCTAGCACCTCTTTCTCTGTAATGTGGACTCTTTTCAAGGAATCATTACTTACTTCCCTAGCTTCCATGTCTTAAATCACGGTGAATCTGTCCGATCTCTCTGCGTAACTAAAACTTCCTAGCTCAGATAGCATCCTGGCAAATCTCCATTGCACTGTCTCCAGTGCAATCCCATCCCCCCTGTAATGAGGATTCCAGAACTGAACACAATATCTTTGGCCTAACCAATATTTTACATGTTCTAGAATCACCTCCCTGCTCTTAAAGTCTATACTTCAGCTGATAAAGGCAAGTAACCCATATGCTTTCTTAACCATCACCTCACCAATTTTCAGATCATTCACAAACATACTAACCAACATTCCTGCAATTAAGTCTAAATCATTTATATAAACCACAGAATGCAAGCACTCATCACTGATCCTTGTGGGTCCCCACTGGCCAAAGGCTACCATCACACACCCGCCCCTGCCACCAATCCCCTCCCCTCCACCCACCCATCACCCTTTGTTTCTTGACACTCTTGCCTTTGCTATCAGTTTCCTATATGGGAACTTGTCAAAAGACCCTTGCTGAAGTCCAAATAACCTACATCAAAAGCATTGCCCTCACCTATACACCTGGTCACTCTTTGAAAAATTCAGTCCGGTTGGTCAGACGTGACCCTCCCATTAACAAAACCATGGTAATTGCTCTTCGTTAATTCCCACTTCTCTTTGCGCAGATTCATTCTGTCACTATGAATTGCTTCCAATAGTTTTTTCCACCCCTGAGGTTAGGCTGACTGGCCTGTAGTTTCCTGGATTATCCCTTGTTCTTTTTTCTGAATAAGAGTACCACTTTGGCTGTCCTCTGGTCCTCTGGCACCTTTCTTATAGATGAATTAAAAATTATTGCCAGTGCCCCGGTTATTTCCTCCCTTGGCTCACTCATCAGCCTGGGATACAATAATACAATATTAATACAGTGCAGCTTAATAATGAAAGGTCTACTATGCCTTGAATATTAAACATTTTCTTTCTTCTCCCTTACATTTTAAAAATTCTGTATATTTAAATGTACACAAATTTATTTAGAGACATGGAGTCATACAGCATGGAAACAGACCCTTCGGTCCAACCAGGTCATGCTGACCATAATCGCAAATGAAACTAGGCCCACCTGCCCATGCTTGGCCCATATCCCTCCGAACTTTTCTTATTCATGTACTTATCCAAATGTCTTTTAAACATTGTAACTGTATCCACTCCACCATGTTCCCTGGAAGTTCATTTCACACACAAGCCACTCTCCATGTAAAAACTTTCCCCTCATGTCTTTTTTAAATCTTTCTCCTCTCACCTTAAAAATATGCCCCCAGTCTTGAAATCCCCCACCCTCGGGAAAAGACACCTGCCATTCACCTCATCTACACCCTTATGCTTTTATAAATCTCTGTAAGGTCACCCCCTCAACCTATGCTCCAGTGAGAAAATTCCCAGCCCATCCAGCCTCTGCTTATAACTCAAACTCTCCATTTCAGGTAACTTCCTGGTAAATCTCTTCTGAATCCTCTCTAGCTTAATGAAATCTTTCCTATAATTGGGTGACCAGAACTGGACACAGTGCTCCAGAAGAGGCCTCACCAGTGTCCTGTACAACCTCAACATAACTTCCCCAACTCCTATAATCGAAGGTCTGAGCAATGAAGGCAAGCATGCTAAATGCCTTCATAAACACCCTGTCTATATGTGACGCAAACGTCAAATAATTATTATCTGAACCCCTAGGTCTCTCTGTTCTACAACACTACCCAAGACCCTACTTTTAATTGTATAAGTCCTGCCCTTGCTCGTTTTACCAAAATGCAAAACTTCACATTTATCCAAATGAAACTCCATCGGTCACACCTCAGCCCATTGACCCAATTGACCAAGATCTGTTTGTAATCTTAGATAACCTTCTTCACTGTCCACTATACCACCAATCTTGGGGTCATCCTCAAACTTACTAACCGTGCTTTTTATGTTCTCATCTGAATCATTTATATCAATGACAAACAAAAGTGGACCTAGCACTGATCCCTGTGGAACCCCACTGTGCTATGGACCAGACCAGACCCCCTCAAAATATATTAAGAAAGCAGCCTAGTCTCTAAATTTTTCTCATTTTAAAGGTATATGTCAGGAGCTGTGTTCTGTATGCACTTGCATTAGTCAAACTACTCGATGTTAAGCAAAACATAATTTATTCAAACACATCATTAAAATTCAACAACTTAACTCTGTTGGAAAACTTAACAGCATACTCGATACAGTAACTACTACTAATTAACTGTTTCAATATAGTAATTCCATAAGCACACCCTTGGCAAAAGGCCAATTCGGAAAACAGATTGTCTCACCTACAGCTTGAAGCAGGCCAAGAATCTCCAGCTTTTGGCTGTAACCAAGAGAGGTTCATAGAAAAGCTTCCGCCACTTTAAGACCCCGACAACAATTACTAAAAACTAAACCTAACATCCCTGGTTCTGTGGTTGGAAGCTTGACCACACTTATTCAGTGTGTATCTACTGTCCTGACTTTTAAAAAAAAACCCAAGGCTTCACGAGCTGTTTATCTTCTCAGAGACTGCTCACTACCTGTCCCCTAATCTCTCTCCACAAAAAAACCCAGGATGGAATAAACTCTAAAAGCCATAGTATCGTCACAGCTGGACACAGGCTTCCAGTCAGACCATTGTTCTCTGTCTCTTACCATTAAGCCAATTGGTAAGTTCACCCTGAATCCCATGCGATATAACTTTACTAAATAGTCTACGTGCGGACCTTTGTCAAAGGCTTTACTAAATTCCAAGTAAACAATGCCTACCACCCTGCCCTCATCAATCGTCTTGATTACTTCCTCAAAAGCTCAATCAAGTTACTGAGACATGATTTCCCTCCCACAAAACCATCCTGACTATTCCTAATCATTCCTTGCCTTCTCAAATGCTTGCAAATCCTATCTTTCAGAATCACTTCCAACAACGTACTCACCACCAAAGTCAGATTCACAGGTCTGTAGTTCCCAGGCTTCTCCTCACATCCCTTCTTAAACAAAGGCACAACATTAGCTACCCTCCAGCCATCTGGCACCTCACTTGTAGTTATAGATGATACATGCATTTCTGCAAGAGGTCCCATAATTTCCTCTGTAACTTCCCACAATGTCTGGGATACATTAGATCAGGTCCTACAGATTTATCCACCTGTATATTTTCTAAGACCTCATTTGAAAATGCATCCTTAAAACAGCTATATCACATCATTCTTGCTGATAATGCTACAGGGTGATTAGAAATCACAGGTGCCAACTAGATTGGTAGACAGAAAAGAATAATTATCTAGCTTGGCAATGCTTGTTCTTTGCACTTGACTACAAGTGCTGTACTGTGCTGCTCATGACCTGCTCAGAATAGCAAGACCTCGAAACAGAATTCTAATTGCATATACACCTGTGAATCACCCTGTATTTACAGAAGGCAGACTGCAAGGCACTGTAGTGGATCAAGGTATAAATGTAAAACAAATTGATTTATTGCATGTCAGATATAGAAAAGCAAACAATTTAGGTTTTTCACTGAGGGACATTATTTTTAACTGTTCTCTGTACAGTGAAACCAAATAAGGCACAACTCTCCCTCCCCAGACAAACATTTATTTTCAGTTTGGCCATTACTAAGGTAACCATATAATCTTCAATGAATGCCTCTATGATGGTGTCCAGAAAAAACAGCATAAGTAATAAACGTGTTACATTAGTATTTGAAGAAATGGTAACATCCCTTTTGAAAGTAAAATTTTGCACAGTTGCACAACACTTTCAATTGACTTTTTAAATTAAAATACAGTATTTTAACACAATTAGAGAGCTTTCAACAAAAACCCAAGGGTTTATAACAATGACATGTTTCACTATTTACAATGAGATAACAAGGTGTAGAGCTGGATGAACACAGCTGGCCAAGCAGCATCAGAGGAGCAGGAAGGCTGACGTTTCAGGCCTAAAAATCCTAGTTTATCAATCATAAACCTAGAATGATTCTGTCACATCAAGTAGCACTTGCCTACTCAATAATGTGGTGACCACAGTATGGAGGGATTGTCTTATGAACAAAGATTAAACAGATTGGGACTCTATTCATTTAAGTTTAGAAGAATGAGAGATAATCTCATTGAAACACATAGGATTCGTAAAGAACTTGACAGCTAAAATGCCAAGAGAATGTTTCCCCTCATGGGAGAGTCTGGGGCTGGAGGGCACAGCCTCCAAATGAAGGGGTACCAATGTCAGACTGAGATATGGAGGAATTTCTTCTCTCAGAGGCTTATGAGTCTTTGGAACTCCTTGCCACAGAGAGCTGTGGGGCAGAGACCTTGTTGGTGAGGTTGTTGACTTGCTCACCGAGCTGGCTTGTTTTTGTTCAGACGTTTCGTCACCATGCTAAATAACATCATCAGTGGAGCTTCCGATGAAGCGGTGTTGTTCTACTCTGCTTGGAATTTATACTGTCCGGTCTGTTATGGTGAGTAGCGTCATTTCCGGTTTTGATCTGTATGGGTTTGTATATGGGGTCCAATTCTATATGTTTGTTGATTGCATTACAGGTGGAGAACCGTGCCTCTAAAAATTCCTATTCGTGTCTATGTTTGGGTTGGGCTACTATGGTTACCTTGTCCCAGTTAAACTGATGGCCTTCATTGTCTGAATGTACCGATATTAAGGAGAGTACGTCGTGCCATTTTGCTGCTAGCTGATGTTCATGTATTCTGATGGCTAATTTCCTTCCTGTCTGTTTGATGTAATGTTTGTGGCAGACGGTAAATGGATGTGAGGAATGTCAGATCAGACATGATCCTATTGAATGGCAGAGCAGGCCCAAGGGGCTGAATGGCCTATTTCATGTGGTCCTACAACATGCTGTACTATAAATGGATGCTAATAAATCAATATGTACCCAAGGAATTTACAGTATTTCTTTCAATTAATAGTAATACAAAAATAAGCTTGTAGGAAATGACTTTCAAAATAAAGGATTCATAAAATCTTCCCAAATATCTAGAATATCTTTAAATGTGATAATTTTACAATTAGATACAATCTGTTGATGTCTCAATTTGTTCATCATTGTTTCCATTCAGTTATCCCTGGTAGGATTCATAGACCTATCTTCCACAGGTTGATTTCTCTTGCAGACATTATAGCTGCCACTTCTATTGGCAGTGCTGAACTTATTGATAAGTATTATAGTCAATACGATGGCTATGTCAATTATCACGCTGATTATTAGACACCATCCGTATCTTGCACCTGTGAAGATATTAGTGAAAATACAAGTTGTTGGTTTGTTTCAAAGCAACATGTTTATAATGAAGAAATCCATTGTTTATTCACATCATTACCACATTTACCAGATAGGCTGAGTTGGTTCAAGGAGGAAACTCAACACTACCTTTGCATGGGTGATTCTCAAAGAATCAGTATGGGATGAGCAGGAATGTCCTACAACTAATTATATCAGAAAATCAAAGCCATTGTTGCAAGCTGCTGTAACAATCCCCATTCCCTTTCCACCAACTCCATTCCCCTTGCAGTCCTGTCTTTGAGGCTGAACAAACCTGCCCCTGACATTAGCCTTCTCTATAAGCTTGTGTTGAAGTTCTCACCCCAATTATGTTTCCAACACTCAGACCACCCACTTCCACTGCAATAATATTGTGTGTCTCCAGCCCTGCCTCAACCCATTGACTTCTGAAACCCACATGCCCGCATTTGTTATCTTGAAACTCGCCTTTCCCTTCAAAACCCACTGTTCCAACTGGACTCTTTGCCAATTTCATAAATTGCACCCTGTGTGAAATTAATTTCATCAAACTCTGTTCTCCGTACCCTAACACACACCAATTCTATTTACCCACAATGCCTGTGCTTGCTGACCTATCAGTCTCCAGTCAGGCATTTTCAAATATTTTCAGTTCTTTCCTCCATTTCATCTCTTCCACTGTTTGTACTTTTTGTAACCATCTTCAGCCCTGCAAATTTATTGGAGTTCTGTACTGCTCCAATTCTGGTCCTTTGCATGTCCCTGATTTTAAACAGCCTATCTTTGGCATCCATCAGTTCAGCTGCTTGGATCCACATCTCTTGGCATCAATAACCACAACTTGTATTTAATATCATGATTTTGACATAATAAATGTCACAAGGTGCTTCAAAGGAGCATTAGAAAGCAATATTTGACACAGACACATAGATAGTCCATTGACCCCTACAGTCAGCTGGACTGTAAGAATTAAATCCTCACACCAACTTCCTCCGTCACATCTGTTCTGCAGGGAGCCTCAGAAATGTCCACTTTTTTCCTCAACCGAGGATTCCTTACTATCGCAGTTGACAAGGCCCTTAGCCATATCCAACACATTTCCTGTTCTTCCGCCTTCACCCCTGCTCTTCTCTTTCACAAGACCAATAGGGTGCCCCGGACCTCAGTTTCTATCCTACCAGCATCAAAGGACCATAAGCCACTATTTCTGCCACCTCCGGTGGGATGCCACCACCAGACACATATTCCACTCTCTTCCCTTGTCAGCGTTTCACAGGTGCTGTTCCATTTGGGACACCTTGGTTCACTCCTTCTGCACTCCCAAATATGTCTCCACACCCCCTCAGATTACACTTTCCTATGTAATCACAGAAGGTGTAATATTTGCTTATTTACCTCCTCATTATCCAAGGCCCCAGACACTCCTTCTAAGTGAAGCAGCGATTTACCTCCACTTCACTCAATCTGATCTACTATGTTCGCTACTTGGTTTTCCACAATGGCAAGACGAAACACAGACTGGGTGACCTTTCTGTGGAACACCTACATTCTGTCTGTAAAAACGACCCTGACCTGCCAGCTGCCTGCCAATTCAACACAACCTGTGTTCCCCAGGCAAAATCGCTGTCTCGGGACTACTGCAGTGCTCCAGCAAGGCTCAGCAGGAGATGGAGGAACAGCATCTTATTTTCTGCATGGGGTCCCTGCAGCCTCCAGGACTCAATATTAACTTCAATAATTTTAGAACCTGGACATGTCATTCCATGTCCTTTACTCACCCCACACTCCAGACCCTGTCATGACATGGGCTGCTTTCAGCACAGCCAACCCATTTTCACCTACTTATGGACTCATTATCAGCTTTTCTTCTTCCTGGCTTACAATCATGCATTACTTTGTCTGTCAAACTTATTCCTTTCCCCCACCTCTGAGTTCCAGATTTATTAGACAGTTATCAAGAAATGTCACTGGACCGAAAACCTTAGCTTTCTCTCCACAGATGCTGCCAGGGCTGATGAGTTTCTCCAGCAACTTCTGCTTTTGTTTAGTGATGCCAGTTTGGATAATCAAAAGCTTAGTCAGGGAAGTAGCTTAAAAGAAGCATCTTAGAGGAGGAAAGGGTGCTAGAGAGGTTCAGGAAGAGAATTCCAGAATTTAGACCCTCGGCAACTGAATATAAATGGTGCAGCCATTAATGTTGGAGATTCTCATGAAGCCAGAATTAGAGGAGTACACATATCTCAGAGGATTATAGGACTGCAGGAGGTTACAGAGATAGGAAAGAATGAGCTCATGAACAGATTGGAAAACCTGAATGATAATTTGAAAGTCAAGGCATTGGTTAACCAGGAACAAATGTAGGTTAGTCAACACAGGGATGATGAGTTAGCAGAACTTGGTATGAGTAAAGACATGGCAGTACAAAGACTGACATCAGGTTTTCAAAGAATGAATATGGGAAGCCGGCCTTAAGTGTGGTGGTGAGGTGTAGAAGTCATTGAAGGCTCAGCAGCAGGTGAGCTTAGACAGATGCAGACTTTGGCAATATTACAAAAGAGAAAAATGTCAGCTTTGTGATGTTGTCAGTATGTGGGTGGAAGTGCAGGTTTGTTCATACATGGCACCAGGACCTATGGATCTTTGCTACAGAAGCAGTAACTCAGGTTGGGAAATTTCCTAACCAGCCTCAGTAGAAAAGCCCCAAGACCGCTGACACTTTCACTCCAGGGGTGGGTAAACAATATGGCATATGGCAACAAATCGTACAAGTGGCTCCTGCCCCAACATTTATAGATGGCTTGGAGCATTCTGACTGAGTGAAAATTCAAACCTAAAGCTGCAAAAGATCCATCTCATGCAGTTTCCAGTAAAACAATTGGAAGTGGCTTGGGGACAGAGATGTAGCAGGAACTAAAGACAATGCCTTTGGCCTTCCAAATATTGCCAATAATCATATATCTTAAGAGTTTCCTAAACTTACTTCTTTGAACAAGCATTGGTCAGCATTCCTAATGTCGCCTGAGGCTCAGTAGCAAATTATTTTTCATGATTTTGTGAAGATCCCTGCTGATGTACTACAGGGGAAGTCAGAACACAGAATGAAACCTAATTTCATAGATGATATGTTTAATTTTGCAGTTATTTAACATTTAGATTAGTCTCTGGAACCTAGTCACATGAGGCTCCAGGTGTTCTTTAACAACAAAGCATAAACTTGTTGCACAAAGAAAAAAGAACAAATATAACTGACTCAATTCCAGAAAAGTGTCACTATCATCTTAAAATTTTTACTTAACTGACTTTCCAGTTTGTTCTCCTTAGACTGTTGAGAATATTTGATTTGGTTTGATTTATTGTCATGTGTACCCAAGTTCAGTGAAAAGCTTTGTTTATGAGCAGTACAGGTAGATCATAGTAAGCGAGGACATACAGATTATAGGGTGAAGAAAAGCTTGTCAGAGTAAGGCCTATATGTTACACCATACTGGACGTATGCGAGACAAGATCAACATTAACAGGATCAGCATTATTTGAAGTTAAAGAGTCCATTCATCAGTCTAATAACAGCAGGGAAGAAGCTGTTCCCGAATGTGCTGCTGCGTGTGTTCAAGCTTCTGTACCTTCTGCCTGATGGAAGAGGTTGTAGGAGAGCATTACCAGGATAGCATGGATCTTTGATGATGTTGGCAGCCTTTCCATGGCAGTGAGCGATGTAAATGGAGCCCATGAATGGGAAGTTGGCTTCTGTGATGGTCTGGGCTGTGCACACCACCTTCTGCAGTTTCTTATGGTCCTGGGCAGAGCAGTTGCCATATCAGGCTGTTATGCACCCAGGCAGTATGCTTTCAATGGTGCATCTGTAAAAGTTGGTGAGAGACCTAATGGACATGGCCAATTTCCTGAGCTGCCGGAGGAAGAAGGGGCGTTGTTGTGCCTTCTTGACTGTCACATCAACGTGGGAAGCCCAGGAGAAGTCATCGGTTATCGTCACCCTGAGGAACTTGATGCACTTCACCCTCTCAGCTTCCACTCCATTGATGTAGGTGGGGGCATGTTCTCCTCCTTCATTTCTGAAGTCAGTTATCAGTTCTTTAATTTTCTTTTGAGGGAGGTTGTTATCATTTCACCAGGTCACCAAGCCCTCTATCTCCTTTCTGTACTCTGACTCATTGTTGTCTGATATCTGTCCCACCATGGTGGTGTTGTCAGCAAACTTGTAGATGGCATTTGTTCGGAATTTGGCAACACAGTCATAGGCGTAAAGGGAGTACAGTAGGGGGCTGAGGACATATCCTTCAGGGGTCTCCAGTGTTGAGTGTTATTGTGGAGGAGGAGCAGTTACTTATCCTCACTGATTGGGGTCTGTGGGTCAGAAAGCTGAGGACCCAGTTTCAGAGGGTGGAACCGAGACCAAGGTCACAGAGTTTTGAGATCAGTCTGGACAGGATAATGGTGTTGAAGGCGGAGCTGTAGTCAATGAGCAGAAGTCTGATGTATGTGTCTTTGTTATCCAGATATTCCAGGGATGAGTGCAGGGGATATGGCATCCTCTGTGGACCTGTTATGTCGCGAGGCAAACTGTAGGGGATTGAGGCAGGTTGGGAGACTGGAGTTGATGTGGGCCATGACCAGCATCTCGAAGCACTTCATGATGATTGAAGTCAGAGCCAGTGGGCGGTAGTCATTAACGCACATTGCATGTGTTTTATTGGGTACGGGGATGATGATGGTCTTCTTGAAGCAGGTGGCGACTTTGGCTTGTAGGAGGGAGAGGTTGAAGATGTCGGTGAATACCCTGCACAGGATCTGAGTGCTCGACTGGGGACACTGTCCAGGACTGTTGCTTTCCTTGGGTTGACTCCCAGGAAGACCGATCTGAATTCTGAAGCAGTGACCGAGGGAACAGTTGTGTCTATTTTTCCAATTCCAGTCCAAGTCCACCGCAATGAACCTGCCATAATTCTGATGCCAAAACTTTGTCAATTTCAACTTGAAGAGTTCAATTCAAAGTCTCCTGGTTTGGAAGCTCTACAAACTAGAAACCACAGTGGCTAAGGTGACTGGTTCCCCTGAACTGACTTAATTTTGCTCCTTGAAGAAATTATTCTATTTCCTGAGAAGGACTCTGTTATGTTCGAAACTAAACCATTGAACCTTCTGTTCTGAGATTAAAACTAAACTAATTGCCTTAATGTATTTGAACTGCTTTTCATAAATACAAGACTGTAAGCATTTTACCCATTAACACAACAGGGGTTCCTGCAGGCATTCTACAATGATCAGATGTTATGGTGAGACTAAGATATTTAGGTTGCACATTGATTTTGATTTAAGGTCAGAAAGTCAAAGAAATGACCAACATCCATCCATCTCTGCTTTGAGATCGAACTCCTACAATAATATGTTACACATTATTTATCATTGCTTCGTAGGTGGAGGGACAGGTCATGTTTAGGAAGTAGGGAGGCTGCAGAAGGACTTGGACAGGTTAGGAGAGTGGGCAAAAAAATGACAGATGGAATATGATGTAGGAAAGTGCGAGATTATGCACTTTGGTAGGAAGGATAAAGACTTGGGAGTCCTAGTTCAGGATTCTCTTAAGGTTAGCATGCAGGTTCAGTTGGTGGTTAGGAAGGCAAATGCAATGTTAGCATTCATGCCAAGAGAGCTAGGATACAAAAGCAGGGATGTATACTGATGCTCATATGTCTCTGGTCAGATTGCATTTGCAATATTGTGAACAGTTTTGGGCCCCATATATCTAAAGAAAGATGTGATCACATTTGAGGGGCTCCAGAGGAGGTTTACAAGAAAGATCCCTGGGATGAAGGATTTGTCATATGAAGAGTGTTTGAGTATGCAATGGTGTTTAGAAGGCTGAGGGGGATCTGATTGAAATGTACACAACACTGACAGGCCTGGATACAGGAGGTGGAGAAGATGTTTCCATTAGTAGGAGAGACCTGGATCTGAGACCATAGACTCAGATTGAAGGGATGACCCTTTACAAATCAAATGAGGGCGGTTAATCTGTGGAACTCATTGTCACAGAGGGCTGTAGAGGCCAAGTCATTGAATGCGTCTTTAAGACAGAGATATTTGGTTCTTGATTGGTAATGGGATCAAAGCTTAGGGGGAGAAGGCAGGAGAATGGATTTGAGAAATATCAGCCATGATCAAAAGGTGCACCAGACGTAATAGCAGGATAATCTAATTCTTCTTCTACGTCTTATGGTCTTGCGGTTTCTGTGACACATCTTGGGATGTCTATTACATTAAAGGTTCAAGAAAAATGCATGTTCTTGTTGTTGACAGAAGGATTCTCCATCATATGATGACATTCTTTCATCTTTTAAGTAGGTCCCAGAATTTTGCTTCCAACACAATTAAAGATTTTCTTCATTTCTAACATTTCAGCCCTAAACATTTATCAGCATTTTCCCCCGAGACACTGATTGAGTTGGTGTTTGCAGAACATATATCATACCAGTTTGTAATTGTTGTTGTGTTACCAAGTTATGGATGACGTTCCTCCAAAAGGAACATCTTCCTGATGATCATGCCCATTGGGGATCTGTGCATTGTTGTTGGGTTTTGAATTCTGTACATTATATTTTCCGCTTTTATGGGCATTGCATTTCAACCACAAGACGGTCACTGCAACAATGATCAATACTACCGCTATTCCTGAGATCAGTAGTTTTATCGTTCTTAAATCTATGAGAACATAGAAAGAAAAGATACACAAATCACCAACAATCCTGGGACATATATTAATTGCAACTTGTCTGAACATTTCCAAAATCTGTAGATTATAAACAAGGGGTAAATTTCAATGAAATGTCCAGTGTGTTTTATTCAGCTCTTTCCTGGCTGTTTTCCATATTCTGTTCTTCACTTTCTTTCATTCCTCCCATACTACATGCCACTCCTCGGCAGCCTGCCCTCAACTCCCTGTCTATTCCTGTTTAAATTCTGCAGGAACGACAAATAGGTAACTAAATTCAATGTGATGTTCCAAACAAATTGATAACAGCATTTCTTTTAAGCTGGTTTGAATTTCCAGAATTGATAATTCCTCTCTATCTCTTACATTGCTAATAGCACGATTAAATGTCCTCTCCTTCTTTCAGAATTCAACCCTAAACATTCATCAGCACGATCGCCGAGACACTGATTGAGCTGCTGCGTTTGCAGAACGTCCTCCCTGTATTTTCTCACTGTATTTTTGCTGCTCCCCCCCTCCACCCCTCACGGAGAAGTGAAGCCCAGTGACGTGTGCTGTACTCACTGATCTGCCAATACTCTGCTCCATGGAGTGGCCGTGTGTGGATTCACAGTGACAACTGTCCCCCAACCCTTTGGAGTTATTACCCAGGCACATGGGACAAACACAGAGCAGGAGGAAGGTACTTCGACACACAAAGAGACTGTCGCTCTGAGCCACTTGTACCCAATGTACCAGTTACAGAGCAG